AGAGAATCCACCAAAAAATTAACAGAATAAGATAATCCAGTAAAGTGGCTGGATACAAAATTAATATACAGAAATCCATTGTGTTCCCACACACTAGTAAACAATCAGAAGGAGAAATTAACAAAGCAATTCCATTTACAACTGCATCAGAAAGAATAAAATACCTAGGAATAAATCTAAACAAAAAAATTAAGGACCTATACTGTGAAAGCTATAAGACACTTAAGAAAGAAACTGAAGAGGACCTAAATAAATGGAAGGATAGATATCATTAAAATGAACATACAACCCAAAGCAATCTACAGATTCAATGCAATTCCTATGAAAATGTCAATGACATTCTTCTCAGAACTAGAAAAAATAATTCTAAAATTTATATGGAACCACAAAACACACAAATAGCCAAAGCAATCTTGAAAAAAAAGAACAAAGTGGGAGGTATCATGGTACCTATTTTCATACTAGATTACAAAGCTACAATAATCAAAATAGTATGGTACTGGCATAAAAAGAGACACATAGATCAATGGAACAGAAGACAGAGCCCAGAAATAAGGCCCCACTTATATCGTCAATTAAGGAGATAAGAATATACTATGGAGTAACAACAGTCTGCTCAACAAATAGTGCTGGGAAAACTGGACAGATACATGCAGAAAAATGAAAAGACTACTTTTTTAAATATACACAAAAAAATTCAAAATGAATTAAATAGTTAAATGTAAGACCTAAAACCATAATACTCCTAGGGGGAAAAAAAAAAAAAAGGCAGTTAACCAGTTGGCATCAATCTGAGTAGTATTTTTTTGGACATTTCCCATAAAGCAAAGGAAACAAATGGCACTTCATCAAGTTAAAAAAAGCTTCTGAAAAGGAAACCATCAACGAAGTGAAAAGACAACCTACTGAATGGGAGACTATATTTGCTAATGACATATCCAAGGGGTTGATATCCAAAATATATGAGACTCATACAATTCAACAAAAAAGAAACAATGAAATTTAAAAAATGGACAGAGGACATGAAAAGACATTTTTCCAAACAAGATATATAATATGAATGGCCAACAGACACATGAAAAGATGCTCAACATCACTAAACATCAGGGAAATGTAAATTAAATACACAATGAGCCCTGGCCAGCTTGGCTCAGCGGTTGAGTGCTGGCCTGCAGACCAGAGAGTCCCTGGTTCGGTTCCTGCTAGGGGCACATACCACAAAAAAAAATAAATAAAATAAATAAATCCACAATGAGATACCACCTCATACTAGTCAGGATGGCTATTATAAAAAAGTCAACATGTGGTGGCAAGGATGTGGGAAAAAAGTACATCCTTGTGCAACTGTTGGTGGGATTTCAAATTAGTGCAACAACTATGGAAAACAGTATGGAAATTCCTCAAAAAACTAAACATAGATCTACCAAACAACCCAGCAATTCTACTTCTGGGTATTTAGCTGAAGAAAACAAAAACACTAATTCAAAACGCACCCCTATGAAGGCTTCTGATCAAGATGGTGGTATAGTTAAATGTGATACTCAAATCCTCCCACAATCACATAAAAAATACAACTAAACTACAGAACAACTATCATTCAGAACCTAAAATCTAGCTGAATGGATGTCTTACAACTAAGGATATAAAGAAGCCACATCTCAGTCTCCATCAACCTGGCTATCACTATTCACTCTGCCCTGGTGATTTCCTAGGACCATGGCCTACCAGCTTGAGGGTCCACCCAAGCTGATTCCTGTGGCTTTTCCACACAAACGGCTTGTCTTGACTATGCTTCAGACTTTCCTAAAATCTCCTGGGCATCTCCAAGCCCAGAACAAGTAGTCATCTGCAGATTGCTTTGTAGATCATGCTAGGTGGCCCTGGGCAGAAACAGGTCGTGGCTGACCTTGGCTTGCATACCCAGACAACGTTGAAGCATCACCACCCAACCACCTCCACAGTGACATATTCAAGGGATAGACTCAGTGGGTACCAGAGTCCCACTAAAGTGAGTCCTCCTCTATGGTGTGGGCCCCTGCACAGCTAATCCCCCACAGTGGTTGCATCCAGTTCTAGCAGTCAATCAGCATGGTGGTAAATCACTCCCACCAGCAATCAAGGCTCAACTACAATAGGAGGGTACATTTGGAGTGCCAAATTCGGGTGAATGGGGTGTCTGTGCCACTGGACCATACAGGAAACCTATTACATTAGGCTGCTCTATTAAATACATAAAAAATAAACACAGGAAGGCTGCCAAAATGAGGACACAAAGAAAGATGTCCCAAATGAAAGAACATAACAAAATTCCAGAAAAAAAACTAAACAAAATGGAGACAAGCAATCTATTAGATGCAGAGTTCAAAACATTGATTATAAGGATGCTCAATGAACTTAGAACTTCAACAGCATGAAAAAGGACATGGAAACCATAAAAAAAGAACCAGCCAGATATAAAGAAGCAAAAAACACACAATCAGAACAGCAAAAAGTAGTAAGAAATAATGTAAGTAGACTCTGGTACAACTTTAAGCCTACCAACATTTGCATCACGTAGGAGCCAGAAGGAGAAGAGAGAGCGAGCAAGAAACTGAGAACTTATTTTTTAAGATGATGGAAAACTTCCCTAACCTGGTGAAGGAAATAGACATACAAGTCCAGGAAGCACAGAGAGTCCCAAACAAGATGAACCTAAAAAGGCTCACATCAAGACACATTATAATTAAAATGGCAAAGGTTACAGACAGACAGAGAATCTTATAAATAGCAAGAGAAAAGCAGTTAGTGACCAACAAGGGTGGCTCCCATGAGACTTAGCTGATTTCAACAGAAACTTTGCAGGCCACAGGGAGTAGCACAAAATAATCAAAGTGATAAAAAGCAAGGACCTACAACCAAGATTACTCTACCCAGCAAAGCTATCATTTAGAATCAAAGAACAGATAAAGAACTTCCCAGACAAGAAAAAGCTAAAGGAGTTCATCACTACCAAACCAGTATTACAATAAAATTTAAAGGGTCTTCTTTAAGAAAAAGAAAAATATGAAAAAAATGGCAATAAATACATATGTCAACAATTGAATCTAAAATACAAAATAAATGAACAAGCAGAAAAGAAACAGACTCATAAATACAGAGAACATTACTGATGGTTGCCAGAAGGGGAATGAGGTGTTGGGTGAAAAAGGTGAAGGGATTAATAAGTATAACTTTGAGGTAACAGAATAGTCATGAGGATGTAAAGTACAGCAGAGGAAATATAGTCAATAATATCTTAATAACTATGTATGGTGTCAGATGGGTACAAGATTTATCGGGATGATCACACAGTATGTTATATAATGTCTAATAACTGGGGTGTACACTTGAAACTAATAATATTATATATCAACTATAATTGAAAAATAAAAACATGAACCCTGAACTCCTGTTCACTGGAGTATTATTTACAATAGCCAAAACATGGGAGCAACTTAGATGTCCACTGATAGATGAATGGATAAAGAAGATGTGGTATTTATATACAATGAAATATTACGTGGCAATAAAAAAGAATATAATCTTGCCATTTGTGGACAACGTGGATGGACCTAGATGGTACTATGCTAAGTGAAATAAGTCAGACAGAGAAAGACAAATACTGTATGGTTTCACTTATATGTGGAATCTAAAAACAAAACAAAAATAGACTGATAGAAACAGAGATCAAAGGGATGGTTAACCAGGAGGGAGGGTGTGAGGGAGGGTGTAGGGGAGGGTGTGTGAAAAAGGTGAACAGGAATATAATCATTAATAGTGTTATAAGTTTACATGGTGACCGATGATGGATCACATTGTAATGTATAAAAAAAGTCAAATTCCTATATTATACACATGAAACTAATATAACATGGTATACCCACAATACTTAAATAAAAACAAAAACATATAACCCAACATTATGCTGTCTTGTACTTCAAATATAATGATATAGCAGACTAAAACTTGAAAAGGGTGTTTGTTATTCAAAAGAAGGTAGGAGTAGTTATTTCAATATTAGATAAAATAGACTTCAAAGAAAATTAATAAACAGAGAATACACTACATAATGATAGAAAGGTCAATCCACTAGAAAGGAATAGTGATCCTAAATGTTATATGTACCTACTCACAGAACTACAAAATATGTGAAGCAAAAACTGATAGAAATGATAGGAGAAATGGATAAATCCACCATTATAGTTGAAGGCTTCACTACCCCTCTCTCAACAATGATTGAATAATTAGTTAGAAAAATCAGCAAGAATATAGAAAACTCACCACCACTACCAACCAAAAGGATCTAACTGACACTTAAAGAACACTCCAACCCAGTAACAGTAGAAGACTTACTTTTCAATTGTTCATGGAACACATACCAAGATATACCAATGTGTTCTTTAAAAAATTCCTTAAATAATATCATGGTATAAAAAATCAGAACTTGCCCTGGCCAGTTTGGCTCAGCAGTTAGAGCGTTGGCCTGCGGTCCAGAGAGACCTGGGTTCGGTTCCCCCTAAGGGCACGTACCTCGGTTGCAATTTGTTCCTGGCCCTGGTTGGTTGTGTGGGTGGCAGCTACTCAATGTGTCCCTTTCAGGTCAATGTTTTTTTTTCTCTCTCTCTCTCTCTCTCTCTCTCTCTCCCTCCCACTCTATCTGAACAAAAAATGAAAAAATGTCCTCGGGTGAGGATAAAACAAAAAAAAAATCAGAACTTGTTCTTTATATAAAATATTTTCAGGTTGATGAAACTTACAGGTATTGACTTTTAATATTGATTTTGTCTCTATTTGCTATATAATGTTTTAACTATAGTAAGAATGTTTTGGGAATATTTTCAATGTAAAAGTAATACTATAACCGCCATAAACTGATTTCTAATGTTTTTTAAACCCAAAGCCACTACTTACTATTACTCTATATTTATTAATCTCAAACATATGTTGATGGATAGAAATCAAATGATAGAAGAAATACTTACCGGATCCCATGAGAGCACAGATCAGAACCATAGAATTATATTTGATTTCAGGAGCACTTCTCTCATCTGCTAGCAGTTTGTGTAAAATCTGTACAAGTTTAGTGCTTTCTAGATCTTTCTCAGCAGTGCCTAGAATATGAAAAAAGTAGAGCTAAATTTCAGCAAACATTTCAGGAGTTTAAGCTAATAGTTAGAATTAAAACATTCTTTTAATATGAAGCAATTAAAAATCTTTTGTTAAATATATATAAAAGCAGAGAAGATGGTACAATAATACCCTATATACTATCATCTTCATAAATTATCATGGTCAAGTTGTTTCATATATCTCTTGTTTCATCTACCCACTCTCATACATCCCAAATTATTTTGGAGCAAATCTTATAAATCACAACATTTCTTCCATATGCACTTCAGTATGTATTTTGTTGTTGTTGTAATCCTCACCTGAAGATATTTTTCCATTAATTTTTAGAGAGGAAGGGAGGAAGGGGGAGCGACACATCAACTGGTTGCCTCCTACATGACCACAACCAGGGCCGGTGACCAAACCTGCAATCCAGGTGCATGCCCTTGACAGAGAATCAAACCTGCAACCCTTCAGTCGGTGGAAGCTCTAACTGTTGAGCCAAACCGGCCAGGGCTGTATCTTTAAGAGATAAAGAATGTTAATTCCTATCAAAATCCCAGTAGGATTTTCTATAAAAAATAGATGAGCTTATACTAAAATTTATATGAAAAGCCACAGGCCCTAGAAGATGCAAACAATTTTGATTAAATAAGACTAAAATGGGAGGAATTCTTTTTACCCAATATTAAGGCTCACTATATAGCAAGCACAGTTATCAAGATAGTATGGTATTTATTGATTGATAGATACATAGGTCACAGGAACTGAATACAGCACCCCAGAAATAGACCCACACAATTATGCTCAACTGATCTTTGACAGGGATCAAAATCAATTCAGTGGAGGAAAAGTAACTTGAACAAATGTTGCTGGCAATCATACAGCCGCTGGCAAAAAAAAAGGAACTCTGACATAAACCACATACTTTATACACATATTAACTCAAAGGGGATCACAAACTTAAGTGTAAAATGTAAACTATAAAATTTTTAGAATATATAAAGAATTCTCAAAATTCAAGTTAAAAAGATTAGAAAATAAGCAAGCAAAAGACCAACAGGCATTTTACCAAAGAATATATATGACTGAAAATAAGCACATGGAATGATGTTCAACATCATTACATTTTTTAAATCAATTCACAATATATCTCTCATAGCTATCAGAACAATTAAAATAAAAACATTGTGACACCACCAAATGCTGGTGAGAAAGCAGAGAAAACTAATCACTTATACAGTGGTAGTGGGAATATAAAATGCTATAGACACTCTGAAAGAGACTGATATTTTGTTTAAAAATTAAACATGCGCCCTGGCTGATTTGGCTCCGCAGTTACAGCATCAGCCTGTGGACTGAAGAGTATCGGATTTGATTCCCAGTCAAGGACATGTGCCTCGGGTGCAGAAGGCAACCAGCCAATGTGTCTCTCTCACATCGATGTTTCTTCCTTTCCTTCCCTTCCCTTCCCCTTTCTCTCTCTCTCTCACCCTCCCTCCCTCACACTCTTATCTGAAAAAAAAAAAAAATCAAAGGAAAAATACCCTCAGGTCAGGATTAAAAAATAAAATAAAATAAACATGTTACCATATAACCCAATTGCATTCCTAGGCATTTATCCAGAGAAATAAAACTTTTATGTTCACATAAAACCCTATACATGAATGTTCATGGCAACTTTATTTTTAAAAGCTTCAAACAAATCAGCCCAGATGTCCTTCAACACATGAATGGTTAAACAAATTGCAGTACGGACATACCATAGATTACTATTTGGCAATAAAAAAAAACTACTGAGACACAAGACAAGTATGATGACTCTGAGAAATTATACTGAGCTAAAGAAGCAAATTCCAGAAGGTCACATACCATATGATCCTATTTACCTAACATTTAAAACATGAAAACATTCAGAAATGATGGGCAGATTAGTGGTTTCCAGGGATTTGGAGCAGCATGGGAGGTAGGGGTAGGAGGTAGATGAGTGTAGTTATAAATAGAGGGATCCTTGTGGTATTAGAACTATTCAGTATCTTGACTGTGGTGGTAGATACACAAAACTACACATGTAAAAAAAAAAAAAACTACACAGAACTTAACATACATACAAATGAATATGAGTAAAACTGGGGAAATCTAAGAGAGGTAAATTATATCAATGGTTGAATATTATACTTAGAGTTTTGCAGAATGTTACCATTGGGAGAAATGGGGAACATATACAAAGGATCTCTCTAGCATTTTTTTAAAACTTCATGTGAATCTATAATTATAAAAAAAAAAAAAAAAAAAAAAAAAAGATAAGAACTCTTAAAACTGTTGTTTTAATACTGGTCATGCAAAAAATTTACATGATAAATTTTTATATAATAATGCCTTAATATCCCTAAAGAAATAAAACTGGAAAATATGGTTTTCAAAGTATGTTATGTATTGAAATTATAGGTTTATTTTTATATCTTAAGCTCAAGGAACCTAGAAAACACTAGGTAACAATTTAAAAAAAGGTATGGTCCTGGCCGGTGTGGCTCAGCGGTTGGAGCGTCGGCTTGCGGTCCAGAGAGACCTGGGTTCGGTTCCCGCTAAGGGCGCAGTTTGTACCTCGGTTGCAGTTTGTCCCCGGCCCTGTTTGGTCGTGTGGGTAGCAGCCACTCAATGTGTCTCTTTCACGTTGATGTTTCTCTCTCTCTCTCCCACTCTCCCACTGTATCTGAACAAAAAATGGAAAAGTGTCCTCGGGTGAGGATGAAATAAAAAAAGGTATGTATTATCATTTTATACAGTTCTATGAAAAGGTGACCAGATCCAAGCAAATGTTAAGCCACCAGGAAGCTGACAAAATTATACCTTGTTTGGAAGATACTGTCACAAAACAGATTCACCCCAGGCTGAGAGGTCAAGGATATTCTTAAAATGCTCCATTACTTTAAGCCTTTTACAATTAGTCTGTGAACCCAGTTTGGTAGTTGATGTCCTCACCCACCCCTCCATCACAGCTTCCACCCTTTAAAGGTGTCTGGCTTCTAGACTGACTCCATAATCTACCCAAATCATGTGGGAAATCACAGGCTAGGCCAGAACTTAAACTGACCTCCACAGCCTCTCTAGCTATAAACTAAAGTCACTGAGAGGAAACATATATTGTCTTGAAGTCTTTTATCTTTAAAATTAAAAAAAGCTTACATCCTACTTATAACTATGATTTTTTAAAAAATCACAAATTGTTTTAAAATTCACAACACTTTAAAAGGACAAAATTTCAAATTTCCTATACCCCACATCTGAGTATATGTGATACTGGAGGAAGATATACCATGTATCTTCCTCCTGGAATAGGGGCTGGTGGGTTCACTTTCCTCAGTGTGAGAATTATGGACATAAATCATCAGTGGAAATTAGGAGGTGATCAGTTAACAGTATTTACCCAAAATTCTCTGAACTGGACAAGACATCAAATAGAGTCCTTTTTTGTGTAAGGCAGTCTCAGACGTTAACCACAGGCCATGTGACACTGACTGTCCCCAGCTGACTAATTAGAGAGTGGTTCCTAAAACACAGGTTGTTACCCATAAGCTGGCTTTTCATGAAGAATTCTGACCAACTGGAATGTTATATGGTGCAAGAAAGACATTATTTAAACTCTGGTTTTGAAGGATTCTGAATGTAAAACACACAGAAGAGTGACACAGAGGTGAGGATTTAAAATGAGTTAATGCTATAAAGCAACAGAAACCAAGATGACAGAGAGATTAACAAGAAATAATTTAGTAGTAAAGATAGAAGAGAAGGTCTGGGTTGCTGGAAAAGCAGCAAACCCTAAAGTTGCAGTTGCATACTAAAAATTGTTTCATTTCTCGAGGCCTGCTGAAAATGTTTTCTATAGTCCCTAAGCGCTTAAAACTTGAGATAATATTTAAGAGTCAAAAATGTTACCAAAAAGCACAACCAAAAGAAACAGCGGCGGTGACAATCTGTAGAATATGATTTTCCATGTTCATAGATATAGGTACAGACACACATGGGCAAAATGCTTCTAGTCAAGGTACTGCCTGACTTCCACTCCTGTACTTCCTTTCATCCAAGATAAAAATAGGAGAAAATAAGTTTGTCACTAGGGTACTTACCCAATTCTAAAGCTGCTATTAGTGCCAAAGCAACAAGGGCTTCATTCTGCATTATTACATGTTCACTAGTTGCCATGGTAACTAGATGCTTGATGCCACCACTCTGTACAATGGTTTTAATTACATCCTACAATAAATAAATATCACAGAATTATAAACTTTAATTTTAAAGATGAAGAAGCTGCATTATAATCAGTCAATTCATTATTAAGTTGAGTGGTTTTCTGACAGTGTCCTGTATGAATCATTACATTTAATAATTTTTTCTTCACAGAAGAAAAAGCTTTTGGCTTTAAATAAATTCATCAAAAGATGACAAGTTAAATTACCTAAGTGAAAAAGACCATTGCAGTTCATATCAAGAAACAGACTACCAGAAGCTACCAAAGTCAAAGGAATGAAGTGCCATTGACCCAAATGTTGACTTACCACAGGATTAATAAAAGAGAATAAAACTTAAAATATTAACAAATTTTTTTCTTCAAAATTTTATTACAGCATCAGGTATTATTTTCCAGATGCTCCAGGTAAAACATTTTTGGGGGTAGCTTTTATCCTTTGCTGGATATGACAAAACTGCCTTACACACAAAGGGACTGAGTGAATCCCACGGTCAACACTGACTTTGAGCAAATTAGTGAACCTCTCTGCACCCCAGTAATTTTATCTATAGCATTGAGATAATATAAGTGTATATCTCATAGGTTTGTGATAATTATAGTTACTACATGAAAAGTACAAACAGGAATATATTAACAAAGATTAGATGGAAAAAAGGTCACATTTATTTCTAGTAGCCATTTTTGTTTCCGTCTCAGGGTTTATTCCCTAAAAATTCTTGGATTAAATATAACTTAGTGGAATGTCTCAATTATAGAATATTTTATTGTTTTTGTTTTTTTTTTTTATCCTCACCCGAGGATATTTTTCCATTTTTTTGTACAGATAGAATGGGAGGGAGAGAGAGAAAGGGAGAGAGAGTGAGAAACATCGACGTGAAGGGACACATCGAGTGGCTGCCACCCGCACGACCAACCAGGGCCGGGGACAAACTGCAACCGAAGTACGTGCCCTTAGCGGGAACCGAACCCGGGTCTCTCCGGACCGCAGGCCGACGCTCTAACCGCTGAGCCAAACTGGCCAGGGCTCAATTATAGAATATTTTAAAGTCATTTTCTTTAGTACTTTTTACTATTTTTAGTGATTTAAAATAAGCTGGATTTTTGTCTGTTAATCCTCACCTGAGGTTATTTTTCCATTGATTTTGAGGGGGTGAGGAGAAAAACATTGATGTAAGAGAGACACATTGATTGCTTGCCACCCACACAACCCCGACTGGGGTGGGGATCAAACCTGCAATACAGGTACATGCCCTTGACCAGCAACTGAACCTGTGACCCTGTGGTCCCTGGGCCGATGCTCTAACTGCTGAGCCAAACTGGCTAGGGCAGTAAGCTGCATATTTTAAGCAGCTTGTCCAAGCTAGCTTCAATGGTACAAAACTAACTGTAATTAGAAATATTTTTCAAATTAATTTGCTGAAATATTTTAAAAAGTGTTTCCACTGCTTCCATCCATGTAAATTTTTAAGAAAACTATTTATAGACAGTTTGTTTGCTTTGAGATCAAAATTGTTTATAAGCAAACATTCTAAATCAATAGAGTCCAAGTACTGAGCTTTTAAGGCAGCTGTGTTCTTGTATCTAATGTGAGTCTTTTCCCAACAACCTCTTTAAGAAAGTGAGAAACTATCTTTTAAAGTCTTTTCTAATTAAAAGAAAGCCTCCCAAATACTGCTTACTAAGTAGCAGTTTATTTGAAAATGAAACAGAAATCTTTTTTTTTTAAGATTTTAAAATGGATTTTGAGAGAGAGAGAGAGAGAGAGAAACATTGATGTGAGGTGAAACATCAATCAGGTGCCTCTTGCATGGTCCCTACAGGAGATTGAGCTGTGACCAAAAATTGAACTGACAACCTTTTGGTGAACAGGATGATGCCCAACCAACTGAGCCACACCAGCCAGGGCCAGAAATATTAAAATTAATAAAGATTTTTATTAGAACCACAAAGGATTTTATTGCCTAAAGAAGACTACAGAGATCCATAGATACATATGTAATCACATAGGAAAGGTTCCTAGACTGTTATTTCATCCTCTACTTTGTGATTCATCCTGGAAAGTCCATTGTAGTAGAAAGGTAGAGAATGAATGAAGGAAATTTGTATATCAGAAACAAATAGCCTCCCCTTAAGTCTAAGCCTAGCTACTTTACCTTATTTTTCTGGAACAGATGCCTGCCCTCTTTCCTACTACAATAAATGCTTATTGATTAGCTACTCTATATAGATTGCTTTGCCTGATAAATAGGGAATAAAAGCTAAATGAAGCATTATACTTGTGTCAGACAGCAAAAAATAATTAATACTGAAAGCTACCCTTTATGGAACAACTATACAATGAACATTGTACTGGGTAGCTTATAGATATTAGTTCATTTTTATCCTCACAGAAAATCTCATTAGCTAGATATTATCTTTAGTTTACAGATGAAAACAACTGAAGAATAAGTTATGAAATTTGTTTGCTGCAAGGTTCCTGATTACATCCTAAATTTACCATTGCAGAAAAAAAAAAAAAAAATTAAGATACCTAGGAATAAATTTAACTAAAGATGTAAAGGACCTGTTTATAGAAAACTAGAGGACAAACAGAGAAAGATACAAAAACGTGGAAGCATATACCTTATTCATGGATTGGAAGAATTAACATCATTAAAATGTCCATACTACCCAAAGCAATTTACAGATTCAATGCAAACCCCATTAAAATACCAATGACATATTTCACAGAACTAGAAAAAATACTCCAAAAGTTTATATGGAACTAAAAAGACCTCGAATAGCCATAGCAATCTCGTAAAAGAAAAACAAAGCAGGAGGGATCACAATACCAGATATAAGGTTATACTACAAAGCCACTGTAATCAAAAAAGCTTGGTACTGGCACAAGAACAGGCATACAGATCAGTGAATTAGAACAGAGAACCCAGAAATTGACCCAAGATATTATGCTCAATTAATACTTGACAAAGGTGGCAAGAGCATACAATGGAGTGAAGACAGCCTGTTTATTTTAATTAATTTATTTTTGTTACAGATGTTTTTCCCCCATTGACACCCTCCTCCCAATCCCACACCCCCACCCCTAGCATTATTGTCTATGTTCTTGTTTACGCATACATGCATATAAGTTGTGTGGTTTATCTCTTCTCTGCCCCCACGTCCACCTCTTCTGAGGTTTGGCAGTCTGCACCCTACACTTCCATGTCTCTGGTCTATTTTGTTCCTCAGATTATTTTGTCCATTATATTCCACAAATAAGTGAGATCATGTGATATTTGTCTTTCTCTGATAGGCTTGTTTCGCTTAGGATAATACTCTCCAGGTCCTTCCATGTAGTAAAGACAACCTCTTTAATAAATGGTGTTGGAATAATTGGACAGCTACATGCAAAAAACTGAAACTAGACCACCAACTTGCACCATACACAAGAAAAAACTCAAAATGGATAAAAGACTTAAATGTGACTTGTGAATCCATAAGAATACTGAAAAAAAATGTAGGCAACAAAATTTTAGACTATGCAGCAGAATTTTCACTGATACAATGCCTAAGGCAAGAGAAACAAGGAAAAAAAAATAATGAACAGGCCTACATCAAACTAAAAAGCTTCTGCACAGCAAAAGAAACAACCATTAAAATGGAAAGGGAACCCACTATACGGAAGAGCATAATTGCTAACAATACATCAGATAAGGGGTTAATTTCCAAAATATGTACAGTACTCATACAATTCAACAAAAGGAAGACAAAGAACCCAATTAAAAAAATGGAAAGAGGACCTAAACAGACACCTCTCCAAACAGGACATACAAATGATCAAGAGACATATTAAAAAATGCTCACTGCCACTAATTATCAGAGATACAAATTAAAACAACAATGAGATATCACCTCACACCTGTCAGAATGGCCGCCATCAACAAATCATCAAACAACAAGTGTTGGCGAGGGTGTGGAGAAAAGGGGACTCTAATACACTGCTGGTGGGGATGCAGACTGGTGCAGCCACTACGGAAAACAATGTGGTGTTTCCTCAAAAAATTAAAAATTGATCTTCCATTTGATCCAGTGATTCCCCTTCTAGGAATATATCCTAAGAAGCCTGAAACACCAATCATAGAGAATATATGTACCCCTATGTTCACAGCAACACTATTTACAATTGCTAAGATCTGGAAACAACCCAAATATCCATCAATAGATAAGTGGATAAGAAAGCTGTGGTACATATATACAATGGAATACTATGCAGATCTAAGAAAGATCTCTTATCCTTTGAGACAACATGGAGGGACGTGGAGAGTATTATGCCAATGAGAGAAAGACAAATACCACACGATCTCACTTATTTGTGGCATATAATGAACAAAATAGACCCAGAGACATAGAAGTAGGGTAAAGACTGACAAACCTCAGAAGACGGGGCTGGAGGGAGGGAAGAGATAAACCAAAGAACATATATACATATTTGCACAACCAATGGACATAGACAACAATGTGGGGGGTGGGAGGGGATAGGGAGGATGGTGTCAATGAGAGAAAAAAGGAGAAACATCTGTAACAAAACTAAATTAATAAAAATAAATAAACAGATTAGCTCAAAAAAAAAATTTGCCCAAAGTCAGTAATTAAGTTGTTAACAAGCCAAGATTCAAATCCAGGCAGTTTGACTAATAGGTGTTTTTTCTTAATATTTGTAGTCTATGTTAAAGTTTATGTACTGAATTTATCTTCCCCTTCTCCTCCGGAGAGACTCCAAGTTAACCTCTAAAACATCACCCCTTCTGTGACACCCAGAGTTGGTTTCTCTATAGATAAACACAAGTGAAATGGTCAAAGGCTCACCTTAGAAAAGAGGTTATAAAAAATAAAAGGAATATAATCTAGACTCTAAATCAGCTGCTGAACTGCTAGCCTGAGTTTCCACTACTGTTTTGCTTCACTTAACAAATACTCATAGGTTATCAACCCTGTGCCAAACACATAACAAGCTGGACACTGCCATGAGAATGGATTCTGTCCAACTTTGTGGGTTCTGGGCATCAAATACTATTCAGATATCATTTAATTTCTAAATATTGGTCAGTGCCTAGAACACAGGTGTTTGACATGGCTACTGGTAACGGTGGTGGTAAAAATAATAACAATAGCAATAGCAGCGATCTCCGTTTACTGAGTGCCTATTGTGTCCCAGGTAGCAAGTGAGTACTCAGTATATATGATCTCACTGAATCATCCTCACAACACTTTCAGGTAGGTAGTATCCCAGTTTTTATATATTAAAATACTTAGATGTGAAAACACTTGACCAAGTAAATAGTGCAGATAAAATATGAACTAATTTCTGTTTCATTCCAAAGCCTTACTCTTAACTATTATAGTAGAATGAAATAAAAAAGCCCAATCTTCAATTTTTATTTCAGAATTTTTGATTAATATATTTATACATAAATACATAAAAATGAAAGTTTATGATGTAGGATCTACAATACTGGTTTTCCAAAAAGGCCACTCAAATGGTTTCAGTGAATGGTTTCCTCTGGAACTTACTTTTGATTTACTGTGTCGTATGAGGGCAGAGAGTAGTCTGTTTGACTCCCCCATTACACCAGCATGATCTTTGGCTTCACACCATTCCACCAAACGCTCCACTAACTTAACATTCTTTCCCAGTTGTTCAGCAGCTTCTGCTATAGGAAAGAAGGCAAACCACAAAGGAATGAATCACGAATAGGCAATCAACTGAGACAAAGAATGTGCAAGAAAATTACATACTTAAAAAATACAACACAATTTTATTAAAGCAAGAACTATAAAAACAGTACACCATATGTGATGGACTATTTGCCCTTCCTATAAAGTTGTGGACTTTCAAAGAAAATACAAAAATAAGCAACTTCATATGCTTTCAAGTCAGCCCGGTAGTTAGTCTGTTAGTACTGTCAAACTGTAAGTAACAAAAGGTTTTTAGAGGGACTCTAAGGAATCACTATAGAGAAAGTTTTTTAAATTTAGAGTAAATAAATGTAAGTCATCCCAAGGATTGGGTTTCATTGCTGTTTCTGTACACAGAAAAATGATCTCCCTGTTTGCAAAACAAATTTTTTAAAAGTTTGACTGTCATTGTATTGAAACATGATCTTGAAGACGAGGCAAAAATGGGAATGGAATGCTAAAACAAAAACCCTTAAGAACTGCTAATAATCAATCTAAAGCTAAGATTCATATGTACTAATAAAGAAAAATGCAATGAAGTTTCCATTTAAAGTCAATTATAACAAGCATGAGAATTAATAAACTGGTTCTAAAACCAGTCTCTTTTTGTCTTTATTTGCTATTTATCTTGTATGATTATATAATTCTGAAAGCTAAAAACAAGTCCTTTTTCAACCAGAGGCACATTGAGAATGGGATAGCAAAAATGCAAGTTGGGAAAGAATTTCTTTTACCTTGTGCATCTATTAACATTCTTAATGTCCCCAGAAGTTTGAACTGAACCGGGGGCATTTCAGATTTAAGGAATTTCAAAACTGCCTCTGTGACCCCAGCGGATAACATCTTTGCTTTATTTACAACTAGAGAGAAGGAAAAAAAGAGACCATGGTTAAAATGATGTTAGCATTCTTGATGATAATCATTCAATTCAATACACATTTATTAAGGGTCTTATTATCTTTAGAGCCCTATGTTTTACATTTTTCTATTTAAAAAGAAATCTTGCATCCTGTTTGTCTATAGGAGCATAACATACAAAAATCAATCCTAACCTCAAAACACAAATAACGTATAAAGGAAATCTGAAAATGTTGCCTTATTTACAAAAAGTACAATTCCTCAAGTTTACTACGTGTTTCTTTCTACCTCTGTTTTTGAACCAGCCGTGTTATTATAGATGTTATAGACATTAATAAACATTATCTGCTTTATGAACCAAACTAATATCATATAGATATATCTTCATATAGTATACTATTTTACCTAACCAGAACTTTATTTTTAGAAAGAATAAAATAATAGTTTAAATCATTTCCTGTATTATTTACAATGAAAATGCGATTTCATGGCTCAAAAGCCTTTAGTCCAAAAGGACATATTCGAGCAATTTTTTTTTTCTTTCCTTTACTGATTTTAGAGAGAAAGAAAGTGAGAGGGAGAAACAGAGAGAAACATCGATGAGAGAAAACATCAACTGGCCACCTCCTGCATGCCTCCCACTAGGGATCGGGCCCACAACCTGGGTATGTGTCCTGACTGGGAATCAAACCGGTGACCTCTTGGTGCATGGGTTGATGCTGAACCACTGAGCCACACCAGCTGGACACATTAGGGCTATTTTTAAAAATTGTATGCTTGCAGAGAAAAAAAACCTCACAAACTTTAAAAGTCATTTTTTTAGGGGACTCTGTCAATTGATGCCATTATCTTACCTAATTGAAGATGCTTTAAAAAGTGTAACTGTAATACAAAAATCTTAGGAGTTCACAGAAGATAATAAAATATAATTATTTGAATGATCTGAACAAAGGCAAAGATTACGCTTATATAGTCTCAGAAAACTGCTTTATCTCCGTTCATCAGTAAAAAGCTATCAAGAATTTGAAGACTTTCCTTGGTCAGGGCAGGTCCACAAATCACATAAAGTAAAAATCTTAAGAAAACAGTAGATTTTATTTTTTACATAGTTGCCTTCCATCCTTCAGTCTTACCTGGAATGGCCAGGTTTCTGAGGGCACTTAGTGCTGCATGCTGTACTGTTACATTTCCATCTTCTACATGTCTGTCCAGTAAATCCGTAAGTTTTTCTACAATTCCATTGTCTACCATATGGATACAATTTCCATCTGAACAAAAAAAAGCATTTTTCTTCCTCTGCACAAACATCTATAAATATTTTGTAATACTGATGCCCACCCATTATCTACATTAGTGAAAGTAGAAACATAGGACAATAGAATGAGTTCTAACTCTCCCATCAGATTTATAATTTTTTTTTTTACTGAGAAGTCCAATTACAAGATTCTTAAAATAGACAAAATTTTAAAAATAAGAAAACTCTCTAGCGTAAACATAATATATCAGAAGATGAGTAAGTAGAAATCACTTGCTTAAAATGTCCACCACCAATAGTTAAGTATGCTTGAGTCCTGTCATGTTACAGAGACAGTATTCTACATTTTGTTATCATGGCTGATACTTATTTTTCAATGATATAATTTTTGAAACATTTATAAAACAGAGAGAATACTAAAATGAACTATTTACTTCCATTTAGCTTCAACAATTATCAATATTTTGCCAGTCTTAATCACATCATTAAGCAGTTAATGATGGTTCCCCAAAATAAGGGAGTGAAAATGAAGTCATCCATTATTATAACAACAGTTCATACTGCAGTAAAATCAAACTAAACACAAAAGTAACTAATATTTCCTAGACACAATATGAATTTCTAGGGCAAGAGCAGAAATGCCAGACTTCAGAAATAAATATGGAGGTCTGTAAATCTGAAATATTAAGCTAAATTAAGCATTCTACCCTAAACCACACTTAAGCTTTATAGGTATAAAAAAGCATAAATTGAGGCACAATGCCCTACAATGAAAACTCAGATTATTAAATCGAAAACAAAATCACCAGGCAAGAAAGAATATCCTCCTAGATCAGATGCTATTTAGAATGGGACTCAAACTTATCAATCTCTGAAGTGCAGAGTACTCAAAGGACTTCATGATCACCATTCATGATCTTTCTTTTTTAAAAACCTTTTTCTTATTGATTTTTAGAGAGGGAGAGGAAGAGAGAAAAACATCAAATGGCTGCCTCCTGCACTCACTTCACCAGGAATCAGCCCTCAACCTGGGAATGTGCCCTGACCAGGAACTGAACCACCAACCTTTTGGTGCATGGGATGATGCCCAGCCAACTGAGCCAAATTGGCCAGGGCTGTTCATGATCTTAAACTACTAGAACTTAGTTGAATTGCACAAAATACATAATTTGTTAGGAAAGTCACTATAAATATTTCATATCTCTGAAAAATTAAGGTAGCAGTACACATACATACTACATATAATTCTGAACTGTTCAGTTTTAGTACATGTAATATCAAAGAAAAGTTTTAAAATAGAGAACATCTGATTTTAAAAAAATAAAACAACATGCTTACCATTTCTGGCAAAATTTGCAATTGCCAATGCTCCAGCAAGCTGTAGTTGGTGGTTATTTGATGGAATCCAGGACAGTACCCTTTGAAACACATTACCTTTCCCTCCTTCAAATAATTTCTGCATGGATTCATCTGGAGGTAAATGAAATAAAAAGAGGAAAATAATTACCAGTAACAAATCCATATTTCTAAGTAAATATCCAACTGAGAAACTATATACTTCAAAAACTATATAATTTATAAGGGGAAAAGTAATGACTCTTTCCATAATAAACTTTTAGTAGAGACTGAACAATAAACTAGAAATTTTCTAAGTCCCAAGTAACCACTTGGCTTCTAGTCCTTTGGTGCCACAGCTGTCTCTTCTATATGCCAGCTCTTCAAATAGTGAAAGATAGTGAAGACTCCTATTTTCCAGGCTTATTATCTCTAGTCCTCTCTACATGTGTAAGATTTCAAAATCATCACATTAAAAGGATTAAATGAGATAGGAAAATGAGAAAATGCCTGATATAGTGTTTATGAAAGAGGCAATATGTTTTTAAGAATCTGACAACCATGTTCTTTGGTTGGTATAAATTACAACTCACCTCCAAGAAGTAATAAAACCATTAGATCTGAAGCGGTTTTGAGCTCAGCAATATCATCCTCTTTGTCACTATCCACTTTCTGTTGAACAATCTCTAGTAGACATTCTACCAAGCCTGCTTCAACCAGCTGCAGTTTAATAGCATCTAAAGAATAATGTGAACAAAACAGCCAAAACTTGAGATAAAATAGGAGTTCTGGGATAAGCAATCCATTATGAAGAATTACAAAAAAACAAGAAAATGCATAGTTTAGGTAACACATCTTTGAAGAAAATTTGAGTTTCAAAAGAAGTATCTGACAATGCAGAAAAGCTTTATTTCATTTTTCTACTTGAAATTATGTTGCCTTTCACAATGTCTGGCAGCCCCTAAACAAACTGATTCTCAGCTCTGAAGGAAAGTAATATTACTCCACTGTTATTCTAGATATTATGCTCAGATTTAAAATCAGTTATATAAGATATCCCACACTGTTTAAAATAAAACACATATACCTGTTCCATAAAGTTAAAATATATCCATTAATGGAGTTTGAATATAAACTTATCTAAAAGTGAAGAGCTATTAGTAAATTTTAAACTGCATCACAAATATATTTGGATTCGTATTTGTATAAATGTTATCTTTCTAGGGCAGTTAAAAGATCTATAACATTCTGAATTTTGGAAGTCATGTTTTTAAAACAAACTTCAAGTTTTATTAATTTGAAACTTTCTTGAGTGATGTGCATATGATAGTTCATTCCACTATATTCTCTGTACATCTGAGTAGATTTTTAAATTTCCATAATGAAAGGTGAAAGGACTAACTTTCAAGCTTTCTGATAACCAACAAAATAAGGAATATTAGAGAATTTACATCCCAATTATGTATATACATATATATGTGTATGTGTGTGTGTGTGTATCTTTGTGTGCTTTTTTTTAAATCCTCACCTGAGGTTATTTTTCCATTGATTTTCAGATAGAGTGGGAGGAGGAGAGAGAAAGAGAGAGATAAACATCGACGTAAGAGAGACACATCAATTGGTAGCCCCTCACACCACCCCAACCAGGGCCAGGGATCGAATCACAACTGAGGTACAGACCCTTGACCAGAATCAAACCCATGACTTTTTGGTCGACGGGCCAATGCTCTAACTGCTGAGCTAAACTGGCCAGAGCCCAATTATATTTTAAAAATTATCCTCATATGCCCTGGCCAGTTTGGCTAAGTGGTTAAAGCGTCAGCCCGAGGATCAATGAATTGCAGGTACGGTTCCAGTCAAGGGCATGTACCTCAGTTGCAGTTTGTCCTTGGCTCTGGTTGGGGTCATCCAGGAGGCAACAAGTCGATGTGTCCCTCTCACATGGATGCTTCTCTCTCTCCCTCCCTCCCACTCTATCTGAAGAATAACAGAAAAATATATTCGGGTGAGATTTAAAAAAAAATTTTTTTTTATACTTTTCCTTTCAGGCAATTTTAATGTATAAAAGTTTAAGTTTGGGGTTTTCCCCCCCAAAACTACCAGGGCCACTGATCTTTAGAATATTATTTCAGAATACATAGAATATTCAACCTGGAATATTTCTTTTAAAGGTACATTTACACTGTGCCATGCTGAAAGTAGGGCGTTTCCTTGGTTACAGAATGCTAGGGCTAGAAATGTCCAGTGACTAGAATTGAAAGCCATGATGAAAAGCCTTAAAAATACTAAGAAACCTTGAATTATACAAAATCCCAATGGAAATGGAATCATTTTCCTTTGAATATAAGGAAAACCAAGGATGATATGCTAAGGATAGTCCACAAATAAATTTTCAAAGGTATCATTCAATCCACTGCACAATTATAAAAGAGAAGTGAGGTGGTAGAGGAGAACTAAGAAATAAAAAGGTTGTTATTCTGAAACATTGCAAGCAGGTTACAGTTAGGTAATTCTGTGGTATAAAAACCGACTAAAAGTCATAAAAATTGCATTCGGCCAAACTAACAAATAAGAAGAAAAACAAATTTCTCCCTAAAGAATAAGATCTAAGACATTTAGAAAATTAAACATGTGTCAAGATTAAATTTACAGATCTCTCCTTCTCACAGTTTGACTGTAATCACATATATATGTGAGAGATTTATTTTGTTTTGACTTATCTTTATTCTTGAATGTATTACAGACGTCCCCCCTTTTTTCCCCATTGACCTCCCTCCTCCCCATTCACACCCACTTCTGCCTTCCCCACACTATTGTCAGTGTCCACTGGTTATGCATATATGATAGAAGTTCTTTGGTTTATCTCATCCCGCCCTCCCTTCCCTCTTCCCTTTGAGGTTCATCAGTCTAACAACAAATTTGTACTTATTAATTCCTTCATCTTTTCACCCACCCCCCAACTCCCGCCCATCTGGCAAGCAACAAAAATTTCTGTGTATCTATGAGTCTGTTTCTGTTCTGCTTTCTCATTTTGTTTGTAGATTCAATTGTTCATAGACATGTATTAATTTCCATTGTATTGTTCATATTTTTTTTCTACTTCTTCAAGAAGACCCTTCAACATTTCATATAATACTGGTTTGGTGGTGATGAACTCCTTTAGCTTTTTCTTGTCTGGGAAACTCTTTATATGTCCATTGATTCTTAATGATTGCTTTGCAGGATACAGTAATCTTGGTTGTAGGTCATTGCTTTTCATCACCTTGAATATCTCTTGCCACTCCTTTCTGGTCTACAGAATTTCTTTTGAGAAATCGGCTGACAGTCTTACAGGAGTTCTTTTGTAGGTAACAAACAACTTTTCTCTTGCTGCTTTTAAGATTCTCTTTGTCTTTAACCTTTGGCATTTTGATACTGATGTGTTTTGGTGTGGACCTCTTTGGGTTCATCTTGTTTGGGACTCTGTGCTTCTTGGACTTGTATGGCTGTTTCCTTTACTAGGTTAGGGAAATTTTCTGTCATCACTGTTTCAAATAGGTTTTCAATTTCTTGTTCTCTCTCTTCTCCTTCTGGCATCCCTATGATGCGAATATTAACAAGCCTGAAGTGGTCCCAGAGGCTCCTTACACTACCCTCATTTTTTGGATTCTTTGTTCTGATTGGGTGTTTTCTGCTTCCTTATATTCCAAATTGATGGTTTGCTTCTTGGCTTTACCTACTCTACTATTGATTCCCTGTAAATTATTCTTTATTTCAGTTAGTGCATCCTTCATTTCTGACTGGTCCTTTCTTATGTTGTTGATGTTCTCACTAAGTTCCTTGAAGGTCTCCTTTAATTTCCCTGAAGGTCTCACTAAGTTCCTTGAATGTCTCACCAAGTTCCTTGAACAACCTTATTACTTGTTTTCTGAACTCTGTATCTGATGAATTGCTTATCTCCATTTGGTAAATCAAAATTTGTCTATACTTGTTCTCATCTATCTGGGAAGCTGAAGCAGGTAGCAGGGATCTCGTTCACTGGTAAACAGACTCATTCACACACTCCAGGACACTTCGGCCAAGCAGACTTAATTCTCCAAATGAACAGGAAAATCTTCCCGGGGGACTTATGTGGGAGATTTAAATAGCCTTACTAAAAAGGATTAGCAAGGCATTCTACAGCAGATTGCCCAGCACACACCTATCAACATTATTCTGCCCAAGGACATCTATCTTTATCACCACCCTCTGCATATATAATGTATGTATCCATACATATATGTATGTATCATACACACACACACACACACACAAATACATATATATGTACTTAAAAATCTTTTATAAATGGTCAAAAAAGAAAAAAGAAAAAAAGCAAATAACCATGTAACTACCACCTAAATCAAGAAAGTCATTGCCAACAACTCAGGAAACCCCTCTGTACATTCCCTTTCCCTGTCACAAATCCCTCCCTCCATCTTACTCAAATTACTTCCCTGACTTTTATGGCAATCATGTTCATACTTTTCTTATTTACCAAATAAATGATAACTCCTAAAAACTACAATATAATTTTACCTTGTTTTCAATTTTATATAAATGGAATCTTACAATACGTATTTTTTCCAATGTTGGTATTTTTCCTTTTCATATGCTTATAAGATTCATCTACACTATTGGTATTAAATGTCTTCATTTCTTAACTATATGTTTTTCCATTATGCAAATATACAATGACTTATTTATTCTACTGTTAATGAATATATAAGTGGTTTACAATTTTTCATCATTATAAATAATGTTGCTATGAACATTCCTATAATGGTTCCTGGTGTACATATTTCTGGATCACAGGGAATACATATCTCACACCCTATCAACACTTGATGAAAGTTTCCACTACACACCTTCACCAATGCTTGGTATTATCAGACCTCCTAGTAGGAATATAGTTTTTTATTTTGCATTCCCTGATTATTAATGAGCTGAACTTTTTATTTAACCCTCACCCAAGGATATGATTATTGATTTGAGAGAGAGGGGAGGGGAGAGAGAAATATCAATTTAAGGGAGAAATAGCAATTGGATGCTTCCTGCACATACCCTGACTGGGGATTGAACCCCCAACCTAGATTATGTGCTCTGACCAGGAATCAGTATATGGGACAAGATGAGTATTTTTATGTGTTTATTAGTCATGTGGATTTTATCTTTTGTCAACAGCTTACTCAAATCTTTTACACATTTTCCCCCATTGGCTTTTCTACATGTTTCCTAATAATTTGTGGAAGTGTTTACATATTGTACACATAAGCCTTCTCTTGGTTTTATGTGTTGTAAATATCTTCTCTCATCCAGTCTTCATTTTAATGTTTTTTGTTTGTTTGTTTAGAGAGTGGGAGGGAGAGAGAGGAAGAGAGAGAGAGAAACATTGATGAGAAAGGGACACATCGAGTGGCTGCCTCCCACATGACCCAGCCAGGGACAAACTGCAACCGAGGTATGTGGCCTTAGTAGGAACCAAACTCGCATCTCTCTGGACCACAGGCCGACGCTCTAACGGCTGAGCCAAACCGACCAGGGCTTCATTTTTACTTTTTTTTTTTTTTGCACAGATAGAGTGGAAGGGAGAAAGAGAGAGAGAGAGAGAAACATCGACGTGAAAGGGACACATTGAGTGGCCGCCACCCGCACGACCAACCAGGGCCGGGGACAAACCGCAACCAAGGTACATGCCCTTAGCGGGAACCGAACCCGGGTCTCTCCGGACCGCAGGCCGACGCTCTAACCGCTGAGCCAAACCGGCCAGGGCTTCATTTTTACTTTTAATGGTGTATTGAGAAATAGAAGGTTTTACTTCTAAAATAACCAAATTGATGTCTTCTTTTATGGTTAGAGCTTTACGTGACCTAAGAAAAGTTTCCACACTCCAAGGCCATGATGATATTCTCCTATCTTATATTTTAACATAAACATTCTGGTTTAAATTTCACATCTAGGCCAATAACTTATATGAAATTCATTTTTTAAATATAGTGTAAAGTGGGGGTATAGGTGTCTCTAGCCCTGTTTATTGAAACGACTGTACTTTCCATACTGTTTTACAGTGAAATCTTTTTCACCTCCTAATAAATTAAACATCTATTAATGTATCAATATGTTTGTGGGCTCTCCCGTTCTACTACTCTTCTTGTCCATCCTTGTACCAATACCATACTGTCTTTTAATTATAGTTTTATAAAATAAAAGTTTAATTACTGCTATGCAATAAAACAGTTCTGCTACCTTGGTCTTTTTCACAGAATCTTGGCTTTTCCAGGTCTTTGAGATTTTGGTTAGAACTTCATGGAGTCTACAGATCAAGATGGGCAGATATCATCACAGCATTGAGGTTTCCAATTTGTGAAAGTGATATAGCTTTCCATTTATTTAGCTTCTCTCATTTCTCTTGATGCTTTTCTAAAAATTTTTGCCAGAGATCTTAAACATCTTTCACAAGTACATTCTTAAAGTATTTGATATTTTATACTATGGTAAAAAAAAATTTTTAAGTACATTTTCTAACATTTTTTTTTGCTGGTATACAGTAATAGTGTCTTGATTTTTTTTGTTTTGGCTTGCAAACTAATTTTGATTAATTTTTTTAAAAATCCTCACCTGAGGATATTTTTCCATTTATCTTCAGATAGAGTGGGGAGGCAAAACATCAATGTGAGAGAAATACATCGATTGGTTGCCTCCCTCACAACCCTGACAAGGGCTGGGGACCAAACTGCAAATGAGGTACATGCCCTTGACTGGAATCTTACCTGTGACTCTTTGGTCCACAGACTGACTTGGCTTCAATTACTCAGACAAATCAGCCAGGGCATAATTTTTAAATATCGACCTAGAGATTCTTTTGGATTTCTTACGTACATATCATATCATCTATAAACATTGTTTTCTTTCCTGTATCTTTTCTTTCTTCCTCTACTGCAATGGACAGTTCCTACAATGATGATTAGAAGTAAAAATGATCCTTTTTGTTCCCAATCTCAAAGGAAATGCTTTTTGTTTCACCATTATAATGTTTTCTGTAGCCTTCTGGTATATAACCTTTACATTCTCGTTTAATGTTGATTTACAAAGTTTTTAAAAACCATGAATGCATAGTTAATTGTATCAAATGTTCTTTTTTTTTTTTAAATCCTCACCCAAGGACATTTTTGCATTTATCTCCAGATAGAGCAGGAGGGAGAGAGGAAGGGAGAGAGAAACATCGATGTGAGAGAGAAACATCAAGTGGCTGCCACCTACATGACCCCAATCAGGGCCGGGGACAAACTGCAACTGAGGCATGTGCCCTTAGCAAAAACCGAACCCAGGTCTGTGGGCCAACGCTCTAACTGATGAGCCAAACCAGCCAGGGCTCAAATATTTTTCTTAATCTAAGAAAATTATATAACTTCTCCCCTTTAATAAGTTTCAATGTAATAAAATATATTGATTGCATTTTGAATATTCAACTGTTTTGCATTTTCAGAATAAATCCAATTTGCTATGAGGATCAATTTTAAATATATGACTAGATTTCATCTTCTAAAATTTTAAGGGGAAATCTGGATCTATGCTCATGATGGGATTCCCCTCTAATTTTCGTTCTTGTATTGTCTTTGTATTTAGTATAAAGGTTATAGTAGTCTCATAAAATAAATTGGTGACTGTATCTAGAAAAATTTAAGGTAAGATTACTCAGCTTTTCTATTTCTTCTTGTATCATCCATACTTTAAAATGTACTGGCATCAACTTATTCATAACATCCTCTTATTAATGTCTATAAGATCTGTAGTTAAGATCTATTACATTCTTGACTTTGGTTCTTCATGACTTTCTCTCCCTCCCTCTTACTGATTCACTTATGAGGGATTTACCAGTTTTATTAACTTACTTCAGACTCAACTTTGGTGATTTATATGCTTGTATTCATTATGTATTTTCTATTTTACTAATTTCAGCTCTTTAGATTTCCTTCTTTCTATGTTACCTGGCTTCATTTGTTCTCTTCCCCCTAAATTTCCAAAATGAATACTAAGTTCACCACTTTCTTTTTTCCTTTCCTAATACATTCATTTAAAGCCAAAAAAACAAAAACAAAAAAACACAAACAAAAAACAAACAAAAAAAAATCCCTCCATGGCTTTACCAATATCATATAAGATTTGAGACAGTATTTTAATTTTCTTTATTAGAGATACCCTAATTTCCATCAATGATTCTTCTTTGTTCTCTATGGTACTGGCAGTGTATTTTAAAATATCTAAACACACATGATTTCCTAGCCATATTTTTATTAATAGATAATCCACCTAAGTCAGAGAACATCCTCTGTAAGACTGCAATCCTTTCTTAGGTTTAAATGGTGTATTTTTTCAGTCCTTTTATTCTCAACCTTTTAAATCTCCTTATATTTAAGTGTTGCTTGGTTTAAAAAGTACAGTTGGTTTTTTATTTAGCTGACAACTGGATTTTAATTTAAAGCATTTAGGCCACATGTATTAATATAATTACTGATGAAACACAGTCTTAAATCTAGTATATTTTTATACCCTATTTGTTCCCTCTGTTCCATGTTCCTTTTTCTCTCCTCTCTTTTTTTGGATGGAAAGGGTATTAAAAAACAATCTTACCATATATCCTTCCATTAGTTTGATAGTTACAGATGACTTTTAAAAATTATTTTAGTAGTCACCTTAACAGTTGAAATCTTTGAGTAATCAGAATCTAATAGTACTTACAAGGGTCTTGGGACTCTTTAACACCTTTCATGTCCTCCAAAATTTATATATTTATTTTGTGGTTTATGTTAAGTTATATACATGTATATTTTAAACCTCGCCATAAATTATTTTTATTATTTCACATATTCAGTAGTCATGAAATTTACCTACATACTTACTAAGTTTTTGCTCTTTATTCTCCCATGCATCTAGAACCTTCCTTCTAGAAGCATTTTCCTTCTTTCAAATACCTGTTACAATTTCCTTTAGTGAGAGTATACTGGTCGTGAACTTTCTATTTTTCATCTGAAAATAACTTTATCTTGCCTTCAGTTTTGAAGGGTGCTTCACTAGGTTTAGAATCCTAGGTTGGCTTTATTTACCTTCAGTACATAGAAGATGTTTCACTGCCATCTGGCTTTCCTTGATGCTGTAGAGAATTTAGCTGTCGGTTGAACTGTTGTTCCCTTTTTCCCCCAGCTACTTTAAGACTTTTGTTATTGGTTTTTCTACAATTTCAATATGATGTATCTAAGTATACATTTCTTTTTATCACATTTTAGATTCATTTGGCTTCCTGAATCTTTGATATCTTTCATAATTTTTGGTAAATTCTCTACCAAAGTTTCTTTAAATATATCCTCTGCTTCCACCCTCCTCCCACCTTTTGGGGACTCCAAAAAATGTATATGAGAGCTGTTCATATTGTCCTCTGTACCTCTTAGTCTGTCTAATGTATATTGGTTCTTTTCTTTCTAGATTTCCTTTTAATCTATCTTCCAGTTCACTAGTTCTTTAGTTCAACTACATTTAATCTACCATTAAACCCATCCATTAGGTTCTTAATTTGGGTTGTATTTTTCAATACAGAAATTTCTAATTGTTTCTTTTCCAAATCTGCCATGTCAAGTTTTATAGTTTTAAGTTTTTTTCTAAAATTTTAAAGCTTGCTTTTACTCTTTGAACATAAGCATACCTGTTGAGTCAATGTCTAATAATTCCAGTATCTGGAAATTTGCTGCTGTTGCCTGTTCTTAGTTCTGGTTTTTGTTTAACAATGTCTCGTCTCCACGTGTGTCTGGTACTCTTTGATTATATGCTAGACACTGTACTTGAAAAATTATTTATATGGGATGGTTTATTTACCCTGGTTCACTCTTATTCCTAGGGTGTATCCCTTAAGTTTGTTTTTTTTTTTGGGCCAAAACACAGGAATAGTTTACATGCATCCACATGGTTAATAGGACTGAAACTCCAACTTTTATCCCCTTTATTCTGCAAGGGTACATAAGTGGAGTTCAGGCTCTCAGCTTCATTTTCCAGATTGGCACAAGAATGTGTAAGCTACAGAACCATCTTTGCCAGACTGTCAAGTGAAAGGAACTTGGACAATAGCTTTGGTTAATGCAGACAGTTATGAAGTAGAGATATCCAATATCAAACTTGTATCATTAATAGAACAATTAAAAAGCTGGCAATTAAATAATGTTAGAAAAAATGGTAAAGGCCTACAGAATTAAAAATAAGTCAAAAAGTGTATTTATTTTCTCACCATTTTCTGCCAATGGAGCAAGAACTTCAAAAATCATTTCCCTCTTATCATGTTCTATCTGTTTCCTGAAGAGTTTTACCAGCTCTTCAGCAATGTTTGTACTGGCAAACTGTTCTTTACTGGACTCTGGGGGGGAAAAAAGGAAAATTTAGAGTAAGCAAGCAAAATTAAACCCAGAAATTGCTTCCTATTACTTTCAGTACTTGGTCATTTTATACCACCATTACTGATAAACACTCTTCAAATACAGGAATAATCAAATCTATTTTTTAATGCCCCTGAAAAGGAAAAAAGTCTAAGGCTTTAAAGAAAATGTTCTAACCCAATTATAAAAAATGTTCACTAGCATTACATATAGGTAGCCATAGCAACAATAAAATTACTAAGTTTTAAATTCAGTTTCAAGGCTTTTAGTCAAAGAAGAAAAATTACTCAGAACAGACTGAACTTTACAAGGTTGAGTTAAAGGTGACTTATCTTTATATTATTAAAGTGGTGTGCACTTGCACTGATCCTGACGTGCCTACTGTTAAAGGCCAATTGACTCTTCACATGTATCTGCAGTCCCATTCCTTCTTGCCTCTTTCATATCTCCAGCCCTTCCTTCACACTCTAGAGCCTCACATAAAAAAGCAATATAAAAAACAAAGACCTTAACACCTTCCCTCTACTCCACTTCTCTTCAAATACCATCCATCTCTGTTCACTTTCACAAACAAGTTTCTTGATAACACTGTTTTCATACACGCTCTACTCTTAACGCATGCGCATTCCTAAATCCACTTCGACCTAGTTTTGGCTCACATCTACACTCTGCAGTGTCCTTTGCTTTTTCCTCCTTTCCCACCAGACTTCTATAAATTCCAGACTTCTATAAATTCCAGTTTCTTGGGACCTGATCGTTTGCTTTCTTACTTTTTTGGTCCTTACTTTTACCCTAGACAATCTAATTCTCTTGCATTATATCAAAAGAGTATTTATATACTGATACTTACACAATCCTCTTTCTCTCTCTCTCGCTCTCTCTCTCTCTCGCTCTCTCGCTCTTCTGGACTCCAGGCTATTTATCTAACTGGCCATTTAACACCTCCATTTAAATATCTCTAGCATTCAAATTCATTGTCAAAAGTAGACTTCTGATATTACCCTGATTTCTGTTCTTCTTCCAAACTTCTTTAACTTGATAAGTGAACACTCTATCTACCCATCTACATAGATAAAAACCTGGGAGTCACTGCTCACATGTTCTCATTCAACCCTATATCCAATGAATTACCAAAGTCTACCAATCTGACTCCAAAATACAACTGGAATCCATTTCTGTTTCTCTCCAATTCTCTTCTTAATTTCTTTTGCTGCATCAGATATCCTATTAACTAGAAGTTTCTCTCAAAAATTTTTTGAACAAATTCAATTTACACTGGTTGCTGTTTTGGGGGTACAGCTGGCATCCTGGAATTTCTCTTAATCATTATTTTGATGGATCCTTTCTTTTCCTTCCTGTATTAGGTACTCTATTATATATGTCATTTTGCCTTCACTTGTTTTGTTTTGGTGAACACATCCTTTAGCAGCTTTGTGAGAAACCTACTATATGCTGTGTATAGAAAGTAAACATTTTGAAATCTTGACTGTCTGAAAATGCTCTTTCCCACCTAGAGTTTATGCCCATAATTTAAATTAGTGCCTCACCTCATTCCATTAATTTTTCATACTAGCAATTACCATAAATTTATAATATGTTTATTTATTTGTAAATTCATTTAAAAAGTTCCGTATCGCTGACTAAACTGTAAGCTCCTTGAGGGCAGGGACAGTGTATAGTATTTTAACGACAACAAACACTGTGTATAGTATAGTGTCCAGTACATAGCAAATGTTCAAAAGAAATTTATTGAGAGAATGAATGTGTGACTAAATAAACAAGTAAAATAAAGGAAGAGTTAAGTTCTGTCAACATCAAATAAAAATACTGTAAATTCAACTTTAAAAAAGAAACTCCACAAATCTGCTGCTAAGTAGTGCAGGCCATTTGCCAGCACAAGGAAACAATAGATTATGATTAATACAAAAATTAAAGAACAAAATCTGCCTTTATCCTGCAGGTGGACAGAGAGAAAAGGCAGCATGAAGTTTGATTTGGACATTATATTTTAATTAAATGCCATGGATCCTTAACAGGCCTTTAACCAGAAGCTTCATTTCCTAAGGGTTTATTTTATATCAAAATAATACATGAATTCAAAGAATTCATTCGTCCTAATATTTATATTACCAGCAGAATGCAGTCCTCCTCCCCCATTTCCTCTCCCTCAGAAACAAGCACATAAAGCTCTTTTAGCTAATTCATTGGTATTTACCTTCACATCTTTAAATAACATGTGTATTGACACTTTTTGATGTTCAGTTTTAGGTTTTGATTGACTTTCTACTAGAAAAGATAAAGTATTATCTTTCTTTTTCTTTCCGGTCTCTACCATATCCCTCCATATTCTCAATGTAATTATACTGTAACTTTGATTATAGCAGTTATTTATGTTTTATTTTATTTTCCCTGGAAATACTGTTTCTTAGGTTTCTAAGCTTTTATCATTAATTCAACTCTAAACTCTTCATCAGTTGTCTAATCATCTCTTACTAAGCACATTCACTTTAGGCATTCAATAAATTTCATCTCCCATAAAAATTTCCCCTACTCTGATTTCAGCAGACTTCTGACTTGTTCCAATCTAGACTGCTTGCTCTTTGAAAATAGACCATTTGGAGCTCTCATGTCACCATACTACCAGTAATGTTTTCTGTTGGATCTCTTGTATCCAGATTCCTATGTTGTCTTCTTTCATAATTTAAATCCCTTGTTCTAGTGCAACACATCTAGCAGTTTCCAGAGCAAAGGTATGAAGTAAAATAATTTTCTGAGATGTTCATGTTTGATAATGTCTTTATTGTAACTCCATTTTCCTTCTGGCTGCCAGTGTTGTTTTGAGACATCTGATGAGTACTGATACACAGTCTTTCACATGCAATGTTTCTAGGATATTCTCTTTGACCCCATTATTCTAAAATAGGTCAGGGCCTATTTTCATCCATTCAGCTAGGAATTTGACAGACCCTTCCAATCCAGAAAATTATGTACTTTATTTCTATGATAGCATAATAGAATTCCATACTCATACTACCAGGAACATGATATGAATTTGATATTTACTTATGTCAATAAAAATACTATTATGTGATTTGTTAACCTATGGGCAATAAAGCCCACTGAAAAGAGAAAAAGTATTTTGGGGCATGCATGTTCTACTTTGGTGTTGATGTGTAACCTAGCTATTACATGGGCCTAAGACTCATAATATATATACAATCTAAAAGTCTTAGTAAATAAAGAAATATTTCTATTTTATCCTTTTTTTCTCCAAATAGGGTAAGGGCAGTAAGAGCTAGGAACAGAGTATGAAACTGGAATGAACTAAATTGGGTCCATATCCATTTTTTAATATAGACCAGGGAGGTGAGCTTGAATTCAGGTGGTCTATGCAATCTCCCAAACAAATTGTGGTACCTTAAAACAGGCAATTCACAGGCTTCTTTCTGTTACAAAGATTTGACATTATTGAAGATTGATTATAACACAATTTCTATTTTATTTCTACAAACTCTACTGAACACAAACTCTCACATTTCATTTTAATAATGGAAAATAGTAACTTGTGAAAAGTAAATGTTCTTTCATTCTTAGTCTTATTTGAATAATGGAAATGAGACAATATAAAAAAGAAGAAAAGCAGAGAAGATTCACAAATACCAGCAGATGACCCACTGAAAAAGACTTTTGAAAATTAACTGTGAATATCTCTATTATCTTAACTTGAAATCAAAACAAACGTAAAATACTGAAGTCAAGATTTTAATGAGTAGTGTGTAAGGGCATAAACTTTCAGTTATAAAATCCAAGTTTAGAATTCTGGTGCATCTGTTTATTTGTTTATAAAATGGGGATAATTAATAGAATAATTTTTTATTGTGGCTATTATATTTAGCTATGAAAAACTATCATTTGGTTTCAATGTCCCCATAATAAATAGTTTATCATCAAAATAGTTGTGTGGTAAATTCAGACTAGGAGCTGTAATTTTCTATCAAGGATCATGGGAAAACAGCCCAAATATCCATCAGTAGACAAATGGATAAAAAGGCTGTGGTACATATATACAATGGAGTACTATGCAGCTGTAAGAAAGAAAGATCTCTTATCCTTTAAGACGACATGGGGGCACCTAGAAAGTATTATCCTAAGCGAAACAAGCCAAACAGAGAAAGACAAGTATCATATATAATCTCACTTATTTGTGGAATATAATGAACATAACAGTCTGAGGAATGGGGTAGTTCCAGAGACCTGGAAGTGGGGTACAGACTGACAATCCCAAGAAGAGGGGGTGGTGGGGGAGAGATAAACCACAGAACTTATATGCATGTATGCATGAACAATGGACATGGACAACAAAGCTGGGGACAGGGCGGGGAGGGAGGGGGAGCAGGGAATCAGTGGGGGAAAAAGGAGAAACATCTGTAACAAAAATAAATTAATTAATAAAAAAAAGAATCATGGGAAGGGTCCTGACCAGTGGTGCTAAGTGGTTAGAGCGCCGGCCCATGCACAAAGGGCCTTGGTTTCCATTCCTGGTGAAGGGCATGTACCTGGGTTGCTGGCTTGATCCCCAGCCTTAGTCCAGGTGCATGTGGGAAGCAACCAATTGATGCATCTCTCTCACATAGATTTTTCTCTCCCCCTCTTCCATTCTCTAAAAATCAATGGAAAAAATAACCTTGGATGAGGATTAACAACAACAAAAAAATGATGGGAAGGAAAAGAGAGAAGAAAGGGTACTATTCATGATATTGAGAAAAATAAAGCAGAGAAAAAGATTAGTCCTCTTCTCTGTTATGACTGGACTGTTCCCAGTATTGGTCTGTTTTTGCCTGTCTTACGATTTTCAAGGATTTCTCATAATTTTTTTCTATTGCATTACAGATATATTCTTATTAAAAAGTCCTATCATTTTTAGGGATTTTGCAAAAAGAGGAAGAAGAACTATAGTCTGCGCTATTCTTTTTCACCTGACAATGTAATAAATTATAAAGTCCTTACTTTTGCCCTAGAAATAAAACTACTTGATTTTTAAGACAATCCCTCATATGTAAAAATACTAAAGTTAAGGAAAATAATTTAAAATGTTCAACTCTATTAAATAATATACAAGTGTAAAATTTAAACCTCAATACATAAAATAGGGAAGCAAAGTAGCTCTCAATTTTAAATAATACAATAATAAGATAAAATTGGATCTACACTTTTTAAAAAATTGATTTTGGAGAGAGGGGAAGGGAGAGGGAGAGACAGATAGAAATATCGATGAGAGAGAAAATTGATTGGCCGCCTCCTACATGCCCCACTCTGGGGATTTGGCCCACAACCTGGACATGTGCCCTGACCAGGAATCGAACTGGCAACCTCTTGGTGCATGGGTCAATGTTCAATCTGTGAGACACACAGGCTGGGCGATGATCTACATTTTTTAACATTGAAGCAAATATCTACAACGCTTTAAAGAAATAAACTAATATAATCTAAATGGATGTCCATGTTATTAATATCTAAAAAAAAATTTGTTAATAAGTTAATTGCATTAGTGGTTAATGACTAAGACTTACCAAGTTCAGCTAAATTGCCGAATGCAACAAGACACATTTCTGTAAGGGCTGCATTTTGGCAGTGGATGCCCAGTAATTTCACTAAGGTAGGAATAACACCCATATTGATAAGCTGAGCTTGAAGGGAATCTGCAAAAACAAACAAAAAATGGTGTTTATGCACGAAATAGATATTAGTAAGAAGAAAAACACCTCTTATTCTCCATACTGCATTCTCAATACTATTTCAATTACAGTAAAGCAAAACTAAATCCATTCATATAATCGTTTTGAAAAATTTTAAGACATTATTAGTTCTCAAGAGTCTTGAATATTTTTCATAATTAAAAGAAACTTAGAAATAAAAATGATTCAAATAACATAACAAACATTAGTGATTTGTTCTTTGTTTAAACAGGGTCTTATACCTTTACAGACCTGGTTTTAAAGATATATAAATAATTAACATTACCATTAGTTTGTAGATAAAAAGGTTAGGCAACGTAATATCTGCATTACAGAAAATCAGAGTATATGAAAAGCATAAAAAAAGCAAGTTTCAATAAAGATCGAGAGAGAAGAAAATTAGAATCACTTAATAATGAAAGGTATATAATTCACAAAAATTACTGTGATTAATCGCAGCACAGCATTCTTCGATGACTGCTAAGATAAATAGTTTTAACAAGGAAAGAAAGGGTTACTTAAGATATTTTTCTTTTCACATTGTTATTTAATAATAGTAACAATCAGCAAAGAAAAGTAAATTTGGTTTGAGAGGCGAAGAGAATGAGGTCAATACAGCTTTGTCATCACTGTTTGTCTTCATTTTCCAAGAAAGTAATTGGTTTTAAAGTATTTAACATGACTTGGATTTCCACAATGGCTCTTCATTAACAACAGTAATACATACCTATAACAAAGTTGAAAATAAATAAAGCAAAATACAAACTAAAAGTGCTGCCTCTTAGAACTAACTAAGAAGAAAGACACTCACCTGCCTATGCAAAACACAAAGTTACTATTGATAACTGGTTCGTCCAAAGGTACAGGAATGCTTTCAAATTATTTTTCTTTTACAAATTTAATGCCATTTCCAAGCAAATAATTTTCTCACAATTCTACTAAATTACCTAATGGGAATTTAAAGATAAAAATCTGTTTCTTACAAATTTTACTCATAGCATGCTTCCCTTGACAGCATTTGCCTACTAATCTCTTTATCACTTTATAATTATTAATCTATAGCTAAGGAGTTGGTTGGAAGATTACCAGAAAAAAAAAAAAACACAAAAAAAAACATAAAGACAGAATTGAGCTGTATCATATGCCAGCTGATTATTTGCCTGATGGTCTTTCTAGTTAATTATTCCTGCTTTTAAACTGAAGTATGAAGAGACAGCCAACAAGGCCTGATAACACTGAAAATTGATGAATGGATAACTATGAATATTATCTGGTTCAGTTGTGGGAGCCCATCTATAATATAACAGGGCCCATTATCAAAACAAGAATAGAAAACAGAAGAGAAAAAATGGCGGCCGAGTGAATGGAAGCTACATAAACTGTCTCCCAGAACCAAACTGCAATTACAACTAAAATAAAAACAAATCATTGGGGAAAACCAACTGAAAAGCAGCTGGAGAAAACCCATATAAACAGGGACAAAAAGAGGACACCAAATCAAGCCTAATAGGAACTGTGGAGGTGCGAGAGGGTGAACTGGGAGCCCAAAGACAGCAGCTGAAGGCAGGTTTAGCTGTGAGCAGTTCCTGCTGAGAAGTCAGGTTAAAAGAGCACCAAAACAGCTACAGCCACTCACCTTGGGCTCTGGCAGAAGGAGGTCAGACTGGATTGGAACTGTGTGAAGAGAGTCAGGAACTCAGAGAGCTCAGACACAGGACACTGGGAATTTCATGCTGAATCACTCCCTCATAGGATAGTAGCCATCTTACTCAAAAAATCCCTTCTCAGAGCCCCAGGGAGAAGCAACAGTCCCTCCCTCAGGAACTTAACACCACCAGGTCAGGCCAGAGAAATGCAAATTGAGACTCAATACAGTCGTCCCTCATCACTTCATGCTTCAATTTTCGCGGCTTCACTCTATGGCAGTTTTTTCAAATATATTAATTAAAAAGTTGATCGAGACAGTGAAAATAATACAGTGCATGTGCAGATGTCTGAGTCAATTATACACCCCTGTACTACAATTAAAATTAAAATTACTGTACATATGGACTGTAGGCCTATGTATTCGAGCACTGAAGGAATCCTTCAACGCCAGGTGCAACCGCTAGAGTCTGGAATGAATTAACTGCGATAAACGAGGGACGACTGTAATAGCTAAAGGCTACCAGCAAGCAATTGCCCCACCTGCTGAAAATCCTCTTACCCTGTACACTTGAAGGATTTTTTTCATTCAGCTGAGGGCTACAATCCAAGGCTTATCAAGTAAATGACACTAACAACCTACAGGCAGAGGCTAGAAAGTAACTGAACTTTTCCTTGGCCTGCAAATCTACCCAGGAAAGTAAGACTTAACATGGATCCTACCATACTCATCCAAACCCAGAAGAGGGAGCCACAATCAGCGGAACACCAACACCCACAGAGAAAGAAAATTTGGCAGAATCCAAAACCCACTGAGACAAATAAAATGGTGAAACAAAGAAACAAATCCCAAATGAAAAAACAATCAACTTCTACAGAAGAGATAAATGAAATGCAATGAAGCAGGTTATCAGAAGTAGAGTTTAGAGCGATGGTTATGAAGAATCTCAACAGCATGAGTAAATATATAGAAACAATAAAAATCAACCAACTGAAAATGAAAAACCACCAAGTGGAAATGAAGAATGACACAGCAGAAATAAAGAACACACTGGAAGAAATAACCAGCAGAGCAGAGGAGGCCGAGGATTGGATCATCAAATTAGAAGACAAGGAAAAAACAAAACAAAATCACCCAATCAGAGATACCCCTGCCAAACATCAATCAGAAAGAATATATGTACCCCTATGTTCATAGCAGCACTATTTACAATTGCTAAGATCTAGAAACAGCCCAAGATGTCCATCAATAGATGAATGGATAAAAAAGCTGTGGTACATGTACACAATGGAATACCATGCAGCTGTAAGAAAAATCTCTTATCCTTTGAGACAACATGGAGGGACCTGGAGAGTATTATGCTAAGTGAAATAAGCCAGTCAGAGAAAGACAAATATCACATAATCTCACTTATTTGTGGAATATAATGAACAAAATATAACCAGAGACATAGAAGTAGGGTACAGACTGACAAACCTCAGAAGAGGGAGGTGGGGGGTGGGGAGAGATAAGCCAAATAACTTATATCCACAACCAATGGACATAGATAACAATGCTGGGGCAGGGGCAGGATTGGAAGGAGAGTGTCAATGGGGGGAAAAGGAGAAACATCTGTAACAAAAATTAAAAATAGAAAACAGGCTTCAGAAAAAGTAAAGTTTACACTGAGTTCAAATAATCTAAAACAATTTCAAATTTTGCAATAGAATTATGAAGTCTGTTCTAACCAGATAGAAATAAAAGAATATATAGTCAAGTAAATTGTTTGTTTTTATGCTTTTGATGTTCAATGTTTTCTCTAACTATACAATTCAGCAATTAATGAATGATTCATAATATTTATCTTACAGGCAAATTAGTTATGTTATAGGGTATAGTATTATACCTATACGTTATTTGGCAGAATATTTGTATTATGGTTACAGTATTTATAATGATCACGTACCAAGAAGCTTTCCAAGTTAGAAATTATTTGGATTACTTACCAGTAAAAGAGTTCCTTATTATTGAGTCACCTCTGCAGTTCCTCGTTCTTTAGCCGTATTTTAAACTTTCATGTATTTATTTATTTTGACTACCTCTTCAAATACAGCAGAGCTGTTGAATCATTAAATTTCAGGTATGTAAGCGTGAGCACTAGCGCATGCATTGAGTGTGAGTCAAACTCCACTATATATCTGCATATATGTAAGCATCACACACCCCCTCAGTATTGTTGGTACAATCTTACAAAAATCCCACAGTCCAGGGACATCAGAGGAATAACAAATTTTATGAAGGAGATAACTCAACAGGAGAATGTCACTTAGAAGATGATGTTTATATTATACTAACCTGGCATCTCTACCACTTTTTTGGACCATTTTTATATTATGAATTTTGTTTCCAGGGAAAAGAGGAGCAACAAGTTAAGAAATATTTCCGAGTTTCATACACTCTTTGGCAAACAAATTGAAGCAGTGCTGTTTGAAATTGTGGTAGATTAGGGAAAAAAAAGAGCTTAGCACAATGGCATATGGTATGAATTGCCATAATTCAAGAAAATCACGTTGCTTCATGACAATGTGTTTTACTGCTACCCAGGAGCCAAATTAAGTGTATACTCACATACAACACAGATACCACAGACAAGTATAAAGATAAAAATGTAGTTATCCAATGCAGAAATTCATTTTAGAGCACTAGGCTGCTTTCTTTAATATCTAATTCTATGATGCTAACTAAAACAAAATGTATATTCAAATAACTCTAAAGTCTGTTCATAACAATTGCAAGCAGAGAGACTTGGATAATGAAGACCCAATAAGAAGAAAAAAATTTTACTCACACTGGATGATACAAACTTTCATTTCAAAATAAGAGGCATCCTAGAACATGGTTCTCAAAGTAGAATCCCCAAAATCCTTTCAAGGTTTTGAAGTCAAAACTACTTTCATAAATTTACCAAGATTTTATTTGCCCTTTTCACTGTACTGACACTTGCAATGGCGGTAGAAACATAATGGTGGGTAAAACTGCTGGGGCTTTAGTATGCACGCAGTCAGTGGCACCAAATTATGTTAGTAGTGATTACATTCGTCACCATCACACACAGTAAAATAAATACTATTCTTAACATTTTTTAATTTTGAAGTTTTATTTTTCATAAAAATGTTATTTATGTTAACATATAGTGGGTTTTTATTTTAAAATGCAATACTAAATAATTTTAAAAACATCTCCATTTTAATTTCTAATACAGTAAACTATTGATAGATATTACATATGTGTGTATGTGTGTGTGTATATATATATACACACATATAAACAAAAGTTCTCT